GCTGAAAATTGTCTAATTCAAGTTTATAAGAAACAGCTTGGAAAGCAAACAAATAATGTGTATGCAAGTGTTGTAATAAAGATTTTGAAGAGTATTCTAACTTGTTGCCCCCAAAGAAAAGCAGATGGCCCCCATCAGATTGACATACTGCTTTTAATATTCCAAGCACATCTGTCACTAAGTACTGCAGAATTGCTGTGTTCAGGTTAAATGATCAAAAAACATTCCTGAGACTTCTTAAGTTTTATTCAAAGAAAGACTGAAAAAGGAGGGAAATCCCTTCAAGTGCCATTGGAAAGATATGGGGATTCCCTGTGTTAATTTGATGCTTTTTTGAAGAAACTAGGATGTTATAAAAGAAAACTTGCTGAATAATTTTTTTTAAATGAGCCACAATGATTGCAGTGTGTCTAGTTATGCTTTTGAAATGTCTTTAACATTAGTAATACTCCAAGATTAAGTATCCAGTGAGTAGTCTTCTAATCTGAGCAGTGTGTTGGTTCTCTTTCTTCAGAATACCTGTACTCACTAGCTGTACTTGCTCACTTTTTTTTTCCTCTTGTGTTTTACTGGTAGTGTGTCAAAGGGAAATAGACACCTCCTGATATATATGGTATGGAGTCATGTCCAAACAACAATTTCAGACACAGCTCTGAAATAAAGAAGGAAGGAGGAACGGAGAAAAGCTAAGGTTAATGTGAATACCAAATGGTATTGCACTCTTCTTTACTAGATGCTGTTTGATGGACTGTATTTATTCATCATTTAAGTAGATGGATGCAAAATCTTTTAGTGCCTGAGATGACCAGATTCTTTTTTGACATTTTAACATTGACAAGAGGTTATTCAGAGTGAAAGAAAATACTAGTTCAGAAAGGAGATTCTGTGCATTGAGAATCGTTGAGCTTCAGATTAAACAAATTATCTTTTATTGCATCCAGTTTTGAGGGTTAATTGTATAGCCTTACATTAAAGCCAGCTGGTCTGACACAGTTAAGAGTAAGTCCTTGGCAGGATGCATTCACAAGCAGTAGTGTTTCACCATAAACAGGCCCAGCAGGCAAATCCTTGTATTGCACACAGATTATTGCAGATTACGTGACATCTTCTGGCATTTCAGATTTCTGCCTGCAAAAGGTGCAAACTTTCTGCTTTGTTTCCAAGAGTGTAAAATGGCCCAGATGTAACATTTCTGATCTCGGTGGTGATTTCAAGTGGGATGGGAACCACCTCTTTTCTTACCCTCTTCCAGTTGCTGGTTTGATAACAAGCCATTGCAATGAGGAGGAGGTTACCTTAGACCAGCTGCTTCTGTTCTCATTGTGTGTTTATCTTGTTCTAGGGCGTGTTGGACAAGCGGTAGCACTACGTGCCAAAGCCTTTGGCTTCAGTGTGATTTTCTATGACCCATACCTCTCGGATGGCATGGAGCGTGCTCTGGGACTGCAGCGGGTGAGCACTTTGCAGGACCTGCTGTTCCACAGTGACTGTGTTACCCTGCACTGCAACTTGAATGAACACAATCATCATCTTATTAACGACTTCACCATAAAGCAGGTAATAATCTCTGTGGGCACCCGCCATACCAGTGCTGATTGCTGACTGGGTAGCGTTTGTTTATGTACACAGGCAGATTCTTGTTCAAAAGGGATTTATCTGATACTGCTTTGAGATCAAGCAAGTTTATAACTGATTAGGTAATAGCTGGTGGCTTATGCATTGTTGCTTTTATTGTCTCTTTTGCTCAGTAACATCACGTTTAAAAATAATATGTTGTTCTTAACATTGCTCAGATGTAATGAAGTTGCATTTATGTATAAGCACTTTTTCTGTGTCTGCTTCCTTTACCTGTGTGTTTTCAGGTAGCTGTTTCTGCCTTTCACGCTTGTTCTTCAGTTTGAGTTCTTTAGGTGTACTTTAAGGATTATGACTAAATGGCTCCCCCCTGTGCTCAGTCCTGATGCTTGCAGAGCGCTTCGTGGATGGATCACATTTACAGCATTGCATTATTTGGAAAAATAATGTTTCTTGGAGTTAGCACTAACCTAAACCTAAAGTTTTAGGTAATACTAAAATAATTTCGAAATCTAGGTGCAGTAACTGCTCCATTGTTGACTACTTTAGTGATAAGCTAATTTCAAAATCTAGGTGTAGTAACTGCTCTATTATTGACTAATTTGGTAGTAAATTACCGTTAAATGTCTAGCTTCTGACTCCAGCTCGATGAAGGTAACAGCCAGAAGCGTAACGTTTAGATGTAAGAATGTAGATAGTGTAGAGGAAAGAAAGTCTTAAGATGTAATAGTTGATTTCGCTGTTCTTTATATACACAGTATTTGTATGTATTGGTAACAATGTCAGTACCACTCTTGTGCAGTAAAATCATTGCTTGGCTTCTGAGAAATAGTTTGTACCTACTACTCTTGAGTTTAGGAGAACTGAAGTAATTACTGAATGTGTTCAGCAGTCATGTAGGATCATGGCAAAGAACTGAGTCTTAACACGCATCTGGATTTGAGAGTTTAGGGATTTTACAGATCCATCTCAGCATAAAACCTGGATTTGTGATATAAAACTCTAAAAAGTTAAGAAGTTTAAAATACACATCTCTGAGAGATCAGAGCTCTGTTACCCTGCCCTTAACATTCTCTTTTGTTGTGTGCTCAGGTAATTTAATGGTTATTACATGGTTAGATGTGTTTGCAAGGAGACATCTAGACCCAAACAGAATCGCACTGAATTCAGTGGGACCATCTGGAGGGTTAGCTGTGGTCACTCCTTATCCAGTGGGCTGTGAAATTTAGGCCAGTCTTATCACAGAAAGGTTTTGAGTAGAGGTAGTTAAATGCAAAGAGCTTTGGAGAGGGATTAGTGTGTTAGCCAGAGAAACAATCCAAACAAAACACGTTAAAACTGAGTGATACCAACTGTAATGAAATGCGTATAATAAAGTCTCTACTGGAAAGATTCTCTTAAGCATTTATCTTGCTATTTGCTATCCTTTACGATTAAAGCAAGGATTAAATTGTTATAATCTAGTTCTTGCTTCAGATAAAAGTTTGGATGAAGCAGTCTGTATTGTAACAGCTGATGCAAAAGCCATAAAATTTTAACACCTTTGCTTAGTTTGTGCAGAACAGATCTTCTGAATATGTATCAAAAGGAGCAGAATAGCTTTTTTAGGCTGACAGATGTTAGAGTTGGCCTAAAATTTGAGAGAACTTTGCACGCCACTTTTGTCCGATATTGCGTGCTCGTGTAATAACCAGTTTTAAAAAAGAGAAGTATGATGCATCTCATTTTGCTGAAGTCTCACCCTGAATTTTGTTCAGAATCTGAAATTACATAACCTTAAAATGTCCTTGAAAATTTGGTGTCGGTCTTCTCTTTCAGTAGTTTTTCTCTTTAATTAGTCAGCATTCTGCCTAGCCGTCACGCTTGGCCTTGTAAGTCCCAGAGCAGCTCAGAGAAGTGTTTCAAGCTTGTGTTTATTGAGCCCATGGTAATCGAGTGCTCTCATGAGATGCTGAGGTCGTCTTTAGTTTTACAGACTGCAGTTTAAACTCAATACGTGTTCAAAGCAGCTATGCAGGTTTTGTGCAGGTGAATTTAACAGTCGTCAGCAGTTGTGGCTGTGAAGCTCTTCCAAGCTTCCATCTGTTGTTAAGGGTCATCTCCAGCTGCATCCACCCTTACGGTTTATCGTGAGTCACGTAATTCATTCCCACTACAACGCGTTTATGCAGCCGTATTCTGTTTGATTTGGACTTGTCTTACCTAGTACTAGCTTTATAGTTTTATACATACTGCTAAAATGAAAACTCAAGCAATGTTATTAAGGTTGGCCAGAAGATTTAGCAGGCTTCGCTTTGATGAAAATTTTCCAGTCCTTCAAAGGGCGTATAAATACACTAGGCTGTACTTAAAACTTAGATTATCTGTTTGCAGGAGCAGAGAAATAAGGAAGGTATCTGAGCTCCCATAAGCCTACGTGGCATGTCAGCCCAGCGGTGGGATTGTCACTCGGGTGAGCCCTCCTGGGCCAGTTTTGATCCAGTTCTCTCAGGTGTCTCAACTAGTGGAGATGCTATGATAGTTCCCATCAGGAACATCTTGTTGCTACTAGACCAACTTAAGAACGTGCCACTGTTTCTTCACTGTTCTTCTTCCCAAGTTAATTACATAAAACTGAAAGAAGTAGCCCTGAGTTCTGCTCCTGTAAGCGGTCTTGCATTTTACTATACAGACCAACAGATAGTTCTCCTGTAAGCCCAGGAGTCTGCAAATGGGCAGAGGCAGGGCCACGCTAAACTCGGTGAGTTGGCCGGTAAAATATGCTTTGGTTTTTCTTCTTACAACCTTACTGCAAGCATACGCACGTTAATTGTTTACTGTTTCCTGTGACCTCATGTAAAAAAGCTCTTGTAGCTGACTTTCATCCAGACCTCCTTGTTCATGAATTTGGTATTTCAGATCAGCCTTTCAGCATAAGAATCCAAGTCCATCAGCTTTAGTTTGATGCGTAGGTTTCGAGTAGTTGACTTAGTGTCAAAATACCAGGGTTTTCTTGCTCTTAGGGTGAGAGATGGACTCAATACTAGACGAGTTTTTTATTATTCATCTTCACTGTGGTTCCTGCTCTTCATACACTTACCTTCTTGCCCAGAAATGCTTCTGAGATCAGAAGCTCTGTTTGAGATAGCTGTTAAAAAGATGAAATATTAGGGTGGCTGGAAGCAGGAGGTAGTAATTTATTTGTTTTTTCCTGTACCATCTCTCTTATTTAAACGACCACTTTGTTTTCATGTTGTGGATATATCGTGGTGTAAATTCTTGCAGTTCTCCCCACACTGTGTCATCTACAATGCTAATCTGCACAATGCACAGCACAGCTTCTCTCCTGGGCACACAGCGTTCTCAACCAAATTCATTTTCATGCCTTTTAATTGAATAATATAGGGATTCTTTAGACCTTTATTTGAAAAGTCTCACAGGGAGGAGGAAGCTGAAGTAACAAAAATAAATAAAACATGGCTCTACTGTGTTTAGGCAACTAAAGGGAAAAGTGTTTGAAAATCCAAAAGCATTGATTTTTTTTAAAAATTCATGTAGGCACTTACTTGTGTGAAAGTTGAAAACCTCAAAATATGAATTTGTTTAAGAATGTGCTGTAGTTTCTGTCTCATGCAATTTCACAGTGAAATAAAAAGGCATAAAATGATGTGTCACTTTCATATGCACAGTTGTATCTTTTGATCATGTTACTGCACAGTATCTGAAATGATGCTTCTATTAAAAGACAGTAGTTACAAGAAAAAATAAGGTTATTAAGTGCTGTGAAATAGCATTTTATATTAGAAGCATCACATTTTGTGGTACTTTCCAGTGAAAAGGGAAGACAATTGTTACAGGTTAAACCAGCTGAATAGCCTTTGATGTAATGGATGCTTCTTTTGAGTAAAAAATAATGCCACAACGATTTTATTTCATTTATTTTTATTTCATCATTCTTGTTTTTAACTTTCCCTAGATGAGACAAGGGGCTTTCCTGGTCAACACAGCTCGAGGTGGGTTAGTAGACGAAAAAGCACTTGCACAGGCCCTGAAGGAAGGAAGGATACGAGGGGCAGCCTTAGATGTACATGAGTCAGAACCATTCAGGTGCTTTTCCTTTTCTTTTCTTTTTATTTTGTTCACTTTCTTATTTTTAAGTCTTAGTGCATGATACAATCAACAGCAACAAGTAAATTGAGTTTTCCCTTCATTTGGTAGCTAAATCCTCCTTAGTAAAGCAACATGAATCTGTGCAGCACTGGGCTAATGCAAATGTTGATGGAGCTTGTGTATGTGTATTGTCACTGGTGCAGCTCTGGGGGCATCTCATGTTGATACCTGAACCGACTCTGTCGGAAGGCAAAGAGTTGAGATTTGGTGTGAGAAATAACTATTTCATGACACCTTTCTGGACAACAAGACATACCTTTTGTCCAGATTGCCTCTGCAGGAAAGCCATGGATGTAACAGGTTGCAAAAAAAGACAGCGAGTGTGGCCAGAGTGCAGGTTCTGTTTTGGTTTCCCCCTTGTCAGGGGAGTACTAACGCTGCTGCCGTTCATGGAGCTGGCAGCACATCCTTCATTTTCGAATGACACTGGGAAGTCAGTGGTACATTTTAGGCAGAAATGTACGACTCCTCCAAGCTGCATTGGTATTACGATAGCAGCACTCCTGATCAGAAACAAGCCTATTTGATACATCCTTGAGTCTTGAGCCTGATTTCAGAGCTAGAGTTACAAGAAGAGTCTGCTATAGCTCAGTGCTTGTGTGTGACAAGCCTTTTCGGTTGTTCTGTCTGGGCAGGGAGAAATGTTAATTTTAACTGAAACAATCCACAGAAGTTTTTGAAGAGGAGCAGATTCAGGACTTGAGGGCAGGTTTTAAAGGCTAGAGAGAGGACAGTCTCTCGTATCAGCTGGAGAAGAACGGAAGCAGATTATTTTTTTTATTATACGTCAGCTGAGACACAATGCCACATCACAAATATTTAATCTTATTTATGCATACCCTGCATTCATTTACTTCTAAATGTGGTCATTACAATGCAGTAGTGCTGTGCAAAGCCAAAGTCTGACAGCTCGAGGGACTTCCAGCTACGTATATTCTTCCCAGTTCAGATCTCAGATCTGCACGAGCAGGCCGATGCACCTCTAGGAAGCCCCATTTACTGCATGGAGATGCCATCTGCAGAGATTCAGTTGCAGGATTGCAGCCACAATTTCCTTTGGCATCAGTGCTGCATGTCTATCTGATCACAGCATGCACCTCTCTATTCAAGAGTTTTGCCAGATATTCCGATGTTTATTGAAATGCAGATGGAATCTGTCATTTCATGAATTATGACCAAGTCTGAAAGCAAACTTCTGTCTTAAAATATTTGTTCTCCTGTTGTTACAATTGACTGTAAGATTATTAAAACTGGAAATAAATAGGAGGAGCAAGTTTCCATTATTTTTGGTTTCCTTACTCTGGATCTGTGATAGCATTTTAACTCAGATTTATTGCATCCTCTGAAAATCGGTCTGTAAAGTAAATTTCCTTCGTTCTGTGGAGTTTCTATAAAGGAACGGGAAAGAAAAAATAGTTAAAAATAATGGAAAAAAATAACTGAATTACCAAAAAAAGTTGAGGCTGCTGATGGACATTTCATATTTGGAAATAATTGTAGGATTTTTTTGTCTTCAAATGATTTAAGTGTCACGTTAACAGTGACTCTTGAGAGAACAGACTTTGTTGGCTGATGCAGTAAAACTGATGAGAAGGACGAATGGGATGGCATCCGGAATTGATTTGGGTCTTGCTTTATGCATTTCTGCACCAGAACTGAAGTGGCAGTGGCTGTAGTTGGCAATAAGTGCATTGGACAGAAGCTAATGTTGCTGCTATACTTAGGTTCTACCCTCTGAGGTTATGGGAGGTGATTGTTCTTTATTTATACCATGGATAGTGTATTCAGTTAATTGTCAGAATTAAACCCAAATCCAACAAGGAAGAGAAGTGCAATTCTTTTCTGTTGTAGAAATTAATCTGTGAATGTACAAATCCATCTGGATCCTCCCCCTTTTTTCCTCTATCCTCTCCTCCCCCCCACCCCCTTTCCCCCAACCCAGTATTTTTTGTCATTTGATCTTGTTTTAAATCTTCATTTAGCTTTAGTCAGGGCCCCTTGAAGGACGCACCAAACCTGATCTGTACCCCACATGCAGCCTGGTATAGTGAACAAGCCTCGATTGAGATGCGGGAGGAAGCAGCACGAGAGATCCGAAGGGCCATCACAGGTACTAACTCACTCTATTAGCTCCTTCACTGCTTACTGGTTTTTCACAAACTTTTTCATTCTTTGGTCTTGAAAGATACTGAAAAGAGCTGACCTTAGGATTTGTTTACCACTTCTGATCTTTGGAGTACAGAAACAACCAAGAACTGCAACAGATCGCTTTGGAGGTTCATTGGAATTGCAGAGAAGGCAGTCGCTCTAAAATAAGTGCTTTTTCCATGTAACAGAAATGTGACAAATCTGCCTTTTTGGGTTGTTTTTGTTGCTTGTAAATATTACTCATTTGATGGGTTTGACTGCAAGTCATCCAGGTGTTGCTGGTGTCTTTCATCACAGGTTCTCAGTGTCCCCTTATACTTGTTGTGAGTAGTTCCGCTTCCTTTATTCTTTTCTCTTAGGCTCCTTTGTATTTGGCAGAGTTCATCCAAATTTGTCGTAGAAGACAGTCTGGAATTTCAGTGTCTTTAAGGCTGTAGCATTCAGAGATAAAGCATCCAGAGCTTCATGCTGTTCCTAGTAATGCTCATATCCCAATAACTCATTTACTACGTCAAAATAAAGTTTCCACTATTTTCTTGGGAGGGTACTCTTATTTCAGACGGTCCTCTCTTTAAAGCATTACTAAAGGAGTCTGGCATTTTAAAGAGCAAAGTCTCTTTGTTATATAACTACCATGTAATTGTAAAACGTTCACATAAGAGAAAACAGTTACATCTCAAACACGCACTGCTAATAAGTAAAATGAGAAGAGTGAGCCATTTGGCATTGGTTTGAATCCCTTGTAGCCTAAAATAAAAGGAAGGATTTTCGTGCTGGAAAATGATTCATTAAGCACTAATGTTCTCTCTTTAGTGGGACTTTGCTGTTTCCCCCTTGGCAATATAGGCTGAATGCTCTGCAGACATGAAGGACCATCTGTGTCACCTTGAGAGTAGCTCGGTGCCAACGCGCTGCTCCGCTACACAAAAAGCCCTGGCAGTAGCCTTTCCTGTATCTTGTGCTGAGAGGGGCCGAGCAATTTACTTTCATTTATAGCCTGTGCAGAAAAATTCTCCTCTGGATAGTGATTAAAGGCACTTCTTAAAGGACAATTCAGGTCAGGAATTTACAGGACTATTTCTCTGTTTGGGAAGTAACTTAAGGAGTCTGACCATCCCTTTGCTGGAATTAGTCCTTGTGCTTAGACTCCAGAGGAACTCTTAATAGCACATTAATTAAGTTGTTGTATAGCTATTGCCTGCTCCCAAATAGGTGAGATTGCACAAACCAGCGCAGGATGCCTGCCTGGAGGATGACTGGTGTGCAAATAAGCATTAATAGACAAAAGATCTGAAAAGTGCCTAAGTGTCAGCGCTGCAGAGCTCGTTTTATGTTAAATACTGTGCAGTAGCCCAAACGTGTACCTGGGACAACAGATCTGTATTTTCTTCAAGTCCATGATTGTGCTGTCGGCGATCTAAATCACGGATTTATATTGAAGCTGTCAGCGCGTCCCTGTTTGCACGTGGTTTGTAGTAAGATCCAGCTGAGCCCAGCGTTAAGGGGGTGAGAACAACATTGGATTGCAGTGAAACAAATGGAGGAAAGGTACTGGAAGTGTGGGATAAAGCTGGACATGCAAAAGCCCTAGGGGAACGCAGAGGAGAGAGGGTGTAGAGGGAAGTAATTGGACAAAGGTGTGCAATCAAGGCAGGCAGGCTCTTGCTGCTCTCTGACAATAAAGATGGTTAAGTCGTTCTGCTGTTACCAGAAAGTCAGTGATGTTCTCATACATAAAGATAATAAACAGAGATTAAATATACTTAAATATATTTTTGAACATCAAAATATTCAAGGTGTTTGAATAAGGAGGACCACTGAAAAGAGTAATGGAAGAAATAGGAATTGAAAAGATCGTTAGAACCTTAAAATAAACAAGCAAACAAATACTGTTTTGTAAGGGGAGACTAGTAGAACGTTCCTACGGAAGTTAGAAAGCTCAGGAACGAGAGGGGCAAGGAAGAAGACATGATTACAGTTGGAAAATACTTTAGAAAGTTAAACAGAAGAAGATAGATACTCTTTATGGACAATTTTGGCAGAACTTCAGGTGAATGCGTATTTCAGCTAAATTTAGAAGATGATTTCTAATTAGGAAATCAATAGCAATTCACCCATAATAGGGCATGAACCTTATCTTCTTTAGTGTTCAACTAAGAAGACCTTTTGGCTTGTGCATAGGAGACGTGGGAAGTTTTAGTGACATAAGTGCATGTCCTGGAGTTAACAAGTATTTGATAGGATCTGCTAGACAAAGAGCAATTCTGTGAAAAGGCGCTTTTACAGCCCCATTGTGGCCAGGCTGCTGGGTAGAAAGAGCAGAGGCAGAGTACTGAAGTCCCTGATCCAATTTCCAGTAGGAAATTGGAGAAAAATAGCCCAAATTCTTTAAAGATGGAGCATGGTCAGATTTTGAAAGCATTGCTGGAGTGCTGTTGGACTAGAGTGGAGGAAAGTTAAAAGACGGAGAGCCAGGAGGCTACATTACTGAACTTGAGTGGCAGCCATGCTCTATATTCAAATTTTTGCACCTTGGAAGGCCTGGATCGTGTTGATTATGATTTTGTTGAGGCCCTGAATGCAAAAAAAACAGAAGCAGAGAAATAAAAATTATGCAGAGCGTTTTAGCCGTTGTTCGCTAAGTCTCAGACAAAAGGAGAACAGTGAGGATCAAACGTAAGCTCCTGGTGAGGCTTAATATATTGATTTAAATATGCAAACATTTATAACTATTATTAACTTGGATACATTAAGAACATAAGGCATCCATTTTTTATGGCTTTTTTTTTTTTCTTTCCTCTCCCTCCTTTCATCCCAGGTCGTATTCCAGACAGTCTGAAAAACTGTGTTAACAAAGATCATTTGAATGCAGCTACGCATTGGGCCAGCATGGATCCCGGAGTTGTTCATCCAGAGCTTAATGGTGCTGCATACAGGTAAGCGTGCTGCAGTTATAAAAGAAATACCTTCTTAATTCAGTGTTAGGTACTCAAAAATAAATAAAAGACCTTCTATTAATAAATGAAGTGGGTTTGGATTGGGTCCCAGTCACATTGTTTTCTTAATTGTTGCATTCAGGAGAGCAATCTTGTTTTCCTAGTTGAAGTCAGTCATGCAGTGTGTAAGTGTGTTTCTTTTTCTTTTTTTCTGTGGTTACTAATATCTGAAAAATGTGCAGTGTTTTGTATATTCAAGTGAAACAATTCTGGTCATCTCCAGTGAGTGCAGTTGATGTTTCTTTTGCTGAAGGTAGTGAAGCAGCAGTAGGTTACAGAAAGACTTTCAATAATAAACTGGTTATGTGGGTTTGTGGCCTCCAGATACATGAGAGAAGAAATTACTGACTGCAGTGGAATAGCCTGTGGTGATTATGAAAATATGTTTAAAATAGTGTTTTCTAAATTATACGTGTAATTTTTAAGCAAAAGTGTTTGAGGGACTTGATCTGTGTATTCTCAATCGTGAAAGCAACCCTTAACTAATTAATAGAAAGGAGCAATTTTTTTACATCTGTGTACGTTTCTTTGTTACTTTATGTGCTTGAGAGTCTGTTTGTGTCTCTTTATCCCTTGCAGCTGTTCTAGCAGCAGGTTTTTCCTAGTAGCCAGCTTCACACAACTTTCACTTACGAAAAACGTCGCAATTTTTTATCTTCCAGTGTGGTATTTACTCCTAAGTAGGATGAAGGTGACTGAGAAAGCCACAAACAGCTGCTTCCCTCAATGCCTTGAGGGAAGGGACAGTGCAGTCCTTTTGTAATTTTTTTCTATACCTCTCTGTCCTACTCTTTACGCTGTCCTTCTTCGTACATCTCTCTTATCTTTGTCCTTCTTTGGGACAGATACAGGAATTTTTTGTGTGTGTATTACCCCATATGAAAACTCAGCTGTGCGCTGCTGAAAAGTGAAGCAAAGCTCGCTTCTCCCAGTCACTTCCAGTAGTCTCATCCGAAAGGGATGGAGAGATGACAGAGGGAACATCACCACCCTCTGCCATAATCTCCGTGGCAGTAGCTGTAAGTGCTCCAAAGGAAAAGAATAATTTAATTTGATCAACATATTTCACATCATGTCAAGATGTTGATTTTTAGAAAAACTTCCTGTAGCCCTAAACATCTGAAGAATGGTGGTTTTATTTGCTTAAATGAAAAGTTCAAGCACCTGTGTTCACCTGCACACAGCGTGTGGTTTGATTGCCTTCGGTTTGGAGGACTCGGGGTCGAGCTGAACGCAATTGAAGTGTAAAAGCAGGTGTTGCTGAACTGGGGTAATAACTCCAACCCTGTCGTGGCACTTAGGAACAGGATTGCCTGCCCAAATAAAATGGTTTGTTCTCGGTTTGGGGGTCACAGGTCCAGCAGAAGCAGACTTCACAGCTAGAAATGGATTGTAGCAGAAATGGTTTAGAGTTAATGATTTACAAGGTAAAGACCATATATATTTAATTGAAGCCAAATAAACACAGAGCTGAATGCATTTTTTTAAGGCATCGTTTCAGTAATTTTTTTCTGTAAAGGAAATTCATTGTAAAGAAATTCTGGCTTCACAGTTCTTCTTAAAAGCAAAATAAAACTCGTTTTGGAAATTTTAAGGGGTGAAGTTATGTCATACAACAAATATTAAAAGCTTTTTTTGGAGAGGTGATAGAACAGTGTGTGAGTGTGGGTGAAGGCAGTTATTATTTTGTGAAATATAAAATATGCAGAACTTGAAGCTCAGGCATTATAAAGAAGCTGCTTTCATTAGCAGTGTTTGCTGATGTTTAATTCCTACCTGGATTAAGTACAGAATTTGAATTGATTGAAGCAAATTCTTCTGTCTTTTCTTTTCAGTCCAAGATTATGTTAAAGTGGCTGAGATCTGGAGTCTTTCACAGGCAGTATGATGTTTCAGATGTGCTAATAACTGTATCATAGTCATGTAATTGCATTAAAAGATAAGACCTGGGATAATAATTTATATGTTAAAAAATGCAAATGGCTCTTTCAGTGAACTAAAACTAACAAGACTATTTTATTATGGATATACTCATTTACTTATATTTTGATGTAGGACAGAACTCTTAAATTATCGTGTTATCAGAAGCAAAGAACATTGAGCATTCATCAGCAGAATATAATCTAGATCTGAATATCATCATATTCTGTGGAAAACAAAACCATTTACTATGTGAAATGCAAGACACCCTATCAACACAAAAGGTCATACAAATGAGATCTATCTCTGGATAGGTCTAATGATACTCCTGAGAAGGAGCTATTTGTAGTAATCTTGATGTAGTCGCATAAGGTACCCTGGGTTTGTTATTCCTGTGTATTTGTTACTGAGCTGCCTCTGCCATTTCCTGTGTCGCAGAGCGTGCAGGTTTTAGGCAAAGTGAAATCCAAGAGCCAGTAAACAGAAATTTTGCAATGTTGACATTTCTTCCTGCCTTCACACAGATAGATGATAAGAATATCCAGGTACTGAAGAGGTACTTGGTTGAGAACAGTTAGATGTTGACAATTAAGGAGTTATTTCATCTTGAGATAACAGCTTGCAGCTAAATTTTTAAGCTCTTGGGACAGACTCAGTTTCTTGAACAGAGCTTAACATAGTGCTTCTGTAGTTTAGCAATTAAAGTTACCTTTCATATTTTTCATCATAAATTAAGACAGTGGGAGAAGGAGAAGAAAGAGGATGAAGTAGCAGAGGGGGTATAACTGATCTCTCGCTTCTACTTTCACAAAAAATCTAATTCAGTGGACATGCTGCCTGGAAAACATTACAACTTCTTGCTGCCAGGGGAGGACGATTGGGAGCAACTTTGCGAAGTGCTGGAGGGAATGTATTTGCTGGTTAAGAATAGAGAAGCAAAAAATAGTGACATACGGGAAGGTTTGTGTAGGGTAGAGATGCCCATGTGTAGAGGCTGTTGAGTTTACACGCCCTCCTTTCAGACATATGCTTTGAACAACACCGATGATTAATTTAAAAAGTGACAAAAATTATGAAAAAAGCATGGCAAGATAGGGTTGGGACTTGTCAAGCACAGTACGGTTTCTGCAGAGGACTATGTTTTCTATATTTTGGCTACTGCCTCTGTAGTTTTTGGACAAGAAAGCAATTGTGGGGCTGTTGGATGTTGCTAGAAGTCTGTATGAAGCCTATGTCTGAGGAGTGGTGTTGACAGGTAGAATCACAATTGTTACAGCTTGGTGTCCAAGAGGAGCACTTTTATGTACAGAACGACTCTTTGGAGTCAAAGAAGAATTAGAGGTGCGTAGTTTGAATTGTTTCAAGTGCTTATACGGCATCTGTTAATGCTCCTGATCCAGCAGCATCCATTTTCACGAGAGGAGGCTCTAGCTTTTCTTCCTGAGGGAAGCAGTTTCAGGATTTGCTCTCTCCTTGATTTCTCCGAGCCCCATCATGTTCGTGCTCAGGGCATAAGTTGTTAGAAAGTTGACATTCTCTGTTGGAAACTGTTGCTGTGTTGAGCTTTCAAATGGAAGTTTTTGTCATTTCATGTTGTATTTTTTACAAAGCACCTGGAGTAACTGATAAGCTGCTTCAAAATTAAATTTAAATAAATAAAACAATACCCAGTCTGACAGTTTTCATAGGAATTGAAGCAAATTTGATTAATAAGATTCAAATGGAGGGACTGTAACAAGCAACTGATTCCATTAGCAACTGCAAATTAATTCTGAGGAACCTCTCTGGAGAAGGAATTAGCATAGGAAGCCCTGTAAATATGTGTCCAATTCGGAACAAAGTTCTCTGGCCCACAGGTGGTGTGATCTTTCACATAGTGCTTATCCATCCCAGATCCCAGTCAGTGAGACAGTCTGCAGGAATCTTTCCCAGGATGACCAGGCCAGTGTGTGGTGTCTTTGTGGTCGCTGTGCACCACTGGCACAGCATTTGCAAAAAGCCTTTCCCATGATGTTTCTGTGGTGGAAGGAAAAAGAACAAATAAATGTGCTTTCATCCATCTTTTTTCCTCCTCTGAGTTTTGCATAAGTTCTGCATAATATTCTCTCTGAGAGAACTTAGGATGAGCAGTACAAACATGCAGTACTTTAGAAAAGGTGCTACTGAAACGGAGTGAAATTTCCCGATGCATTCAGTGTTGGACTCCGATGAGAAGAAAATCAACGGCGGAATAATGTGACATTTGAAAAAGCTTGACAAGTCTGAAAGTGTCATTTCCCCCATTTAGTTCAAAGTAAATACTAGGGTAGCAGATGCTGTAGTGAGTAAGTGGTATGTTTGGGTGTTGAGGCTTTTAACTGGATAATGCTCTTGCTGGGATGCTCAGGCGTGCAGAAAATAGCAGGAGAGAACAAGGGAGGAGTGTGCGGTTTTGTGATGGTGAGAGGGGGGCAAAGGGCCAGTGTGAAGATAACTTGCAAATGGGTATTGAGGTACTTGGCTAAAAAGAAATTGTATTTTTGTTAAAAGTGTTCACATGTTGTTTGTATATGGCACTGTGAAAAAACAGTTGTTTATCAGTTGCTTCAGGACTGAAACAGTAGATTTGCAAGAGTTTTTTTAGCCTAATGGTATTAGAACTATTATAAAACCAAGCTGAATCAGAGGGTGGTTTTTTTGTTGAACTTGTGAAATACTTAGGCCTCAGTGTGCATCCAGACAAAGTAAGAAATCTTCAAAATAATCTGTAGTATTTTGTGGTTTTTTTCTTTCTTCTAATCAACCTAAAGCACTTGTCCTCTGTGTGACTAGTACTGGTTCTCTTGCAGGCAAGTTTGGTGCTGAAAATATTACTCGGGTGCAATAGGCTTGTGTTTGTCATCCTAAGAGTGTGTCAGTGTGATTGTTCTTTTGGGGAGCTGTCAGGACGTTAGGACTGCAAAATTAGTTTAAAGAAATACTTTTTCAAATGACAACAATGAAATTTTAAAATTTCTACATGAAAAGGAAAGAGAAAAAAAAAAATCTCCAAAGGTCAACTAGAAGAAAAGTCATAGAGAACAGACAGGTATTGCACACCCTTGCCTGAATTACTTCTTGTTGAGGCATAGTTTGAGAGGAGCAGTGATTCCGGGGTGTTTCCTTTGCTATTCAATCAGAAATCTGCAGAAACAAATCTAGCAAACCTTTATTTCTCATTTGGGTAAAATACAGCATCTTTGGTTTATTTAGCAGCATCTCTCTACTCATCTGGAGCTTAACCCACTGCCTTTCTCACTGGTCTGAAAACAAAAGCAGCTTCCCTGTCGCTCCAGAATGAGGCAAGGTGGGCTTTGGGGTGGGCGATGGCTTGGTTTTCATGTGTGGTCTCCTGTTCTTCTCTCAGCAGGTATCCCCCAGGCGTTGTAAGTGTGGCATCAACTGGCATACCTGCAGCAGTAGAAGGAATAGTCCCCAACCCCATGTCTTTATCACACGGCCTCCCTGCTGTAGCCCACCCGCCTCATGCTCCTTCGCCCGGCCAAACTGTCAAACCAGAAGCTGATAGAGACCACCCAAGCGACCAATTGTAGCCTACGAAAACAGCATTCCCAACATCGGCAAGTTCAACTTCAGCGTGTGGAAAACAAACAAAACATAACAAAACAAAACCCTGGATTTTGATTAAAGGCAAAACCATGAACTTAACAGGAGGAGATGATTATCGTTTTAGAAACTGGTCCAATATACAGTATAAAAGGAAAAGGTGGGAGACAAAAAGAAGATTTGGAAACATTTTTTCCTCCGTATAAATTGTAGTTTGTCCCTGTCCAGTGGACTGATTCACTGTTTCTGTGTCCTATGGGTTCTTTGTTAAGCAAGAGAAGTTAGTAGTTAATTATATCATGAATGTACTTGTCTGTGTACAGTTTTTAGAACATTAAAAAGGGTTTGTTTGCTTAGCTGTCAACAAGGAAAAACATAAGGGAGGCATTCAACAAACCAGTTTTGAGATTAAAAATCCTTTCTTTTATATTTTAAAACATGCCCAAAAATGAGGCAGTTGGCAAACTTCTCAGGACAATGAATTTTTCCCATTTTTCTTTCTACGCCGCACAGTGCATTGTTTTTTCTACCTGCTTGTCTTATTTTTTAGAATAATTTAGGAAACAAAAGAAAAACAGTTTCTCCTAATTTTGGCATGAATTCCCTTATTTCAAAATGAAAACAACCTTGCAAAGAGATTTTGAGGAAAAAAAAAAGGTTTTGTATAAACGAGCATTGTGCTTTTTGTCACCAGTTAAAGTATATATTATTGGTGGTATGCAGAAAAGGCACTAGACTACTGAAAAGTAGCAGCATTTCATTGCCTACATTGATTCCTTCCTGGTAATGTGGTAGGCTAGCAATATTTTTGGTTAAAAACATGTTTGTGACTGTAACCATTTGTATGAATTATTTTAAAGAAATAAAAATCCCAGACAAATATCATATGTGTAAAAATTTTTATTTCTAGTAACTGTTTATTCAACTTTTATTAGGTTTCTTAGCTGTAATTTTTAAACAGATGCTGTCAAGTATTTCATTTCTAGCTTTACTTTGCTCTCTGTTGTTTGTAATACTGTCTTGGAAGCTTGAAAAATAAAAAAAAATAATTCTTTCCGTACCATTTTTCCCTTTACATTTCGTAAATGTTGATCTTTTTTCCTGTGTTTCTAATGGAGTTTAAAATTAAGATGGATTTTGATTTGTACACCGGCATCGTCAGCTACAATATGGTAACAGCATTTATGCCACCACTGTGGGCAGAGCAGAGGAGGTACAACAGCAACACAACAGTAATAATAATAAACGTCTTTTGCCGAAGTCCAACATGAGAGGTGTCCATTGTTTTATTTGCTTTCGTGATGACGGAAGCATGCGGCAGCACGGAGTTGTATTTGCTGTATTGAAGGAGTTTGTTTCTTTGAGTGCAGGCAGAAGCGTGCTCAAGGCAGGTTAGAGTTCAGCTGGAAGCTGTTCTGGCTGTTCCTGTGCTCCTGGATGAGATGTCCTTCATCCCGACGTGCTTCAGAAAAGCAAGGCGAAAGTTTAGCTGCTGCGAGAAGGAAATCCGAGATGGGCAAAAGCGATGAAGGTCATAAACCTCCTCGGTTAACTCTTGTCTTTTTGTTCTCTATTAATCTGAACTAGTACCTGTGCACCTCAGGGTAGTGAGGTGGTTTGTTGGGATCTGTCAGAAGTTGCTGTCCCATGTTCCCATAGGTCTACAGAGCGGCCTCCGCTTCGCTGTGGAAAGTGAGGGGGCTGCAAATCAAGAAAGACCGGAACTTGTGGGTGTGTAGCCAGAGAGCACTATCTGAAGTGAACTTTTTTCTCCAGGGAAGAGTGGAAGGTTCAAGGCCTTGAACATTTAAAGCCAGTAATGTCATCCATTAGAATGTATTTGATGGTAAAACCATTCCTCTGCCTGCTGTGAAACAAAAGAGAAAATGGCTCCAAAGCTGCAAGTTGTCGCAGCAAAGACACTTTAAAAGCTTTGTGGCCAAAATCTTGCCTGTGGCAAAAAACTTGCAAAAAACCAGATATGGTCTCCTGCAGTTTAAGTGGGGTTTCATGTTTCGTTGGTAATTCCTGTTTTAAAATGCTTCTGTGTCAGGCTGAAGATACTTCTTTAACATATGTAGAACACCCATTTAACATCTGGCTGCAAAACATCGCTGACAGTCTCATTTGCAACCAAATTTCCGGAGGAATACCAAGAGGGTGGAGTTTTTTCCTTCTCCTGCGTCGATTTGGATGTGGTGTGTATACGTAAGCTTTATTTCCGGTGAATTGATAAATGGACACACTAGAAATGAAGGCACCAATATTTATTGCATGCGCTTCTGGGGCTCCGTTCTGAAGCTTGCTGTCAACTGCTTATTTTTGAGCTGTCATCTGTGCTTGCTTGGGCACAACCTTTGTCAGGATTTGAGCCTGAAACCCTACATCGATGGGCACGATAGGGCATCGCCACCGTGGTGCAAACGTGTTCAATATTTTTATGCTAGTACTTAAAATGCATCTGTCAGTCTGTCTGCTGGAGAGTCCTGCAGTTCTTTCCTGCTGTTGGAGCAGAAAGAAAAAGACACTGAGGCCATGACAAGACCAATGGGTACTGACTTCTGGGTTATGGTCTGAAAGCTGAATTAATTTTTAAAAAAAAAAAAAAAAACAACTAAAAGCTTGGAGTAAATGATTAATTGGAAAGGTGTACTGTAATAAACAAAGGCTGTTCTGCCAGACTGACCTTGTATCTTTTACGACTGCTGTTGTTGGGTAGCAGAAATGTGATTAGATTTCCTCTGCCTGGTAAAGGATGTGCTAAATAAAGTTTAGATCGAAAAAGATGCAGTTAGTGGGAGAATATAAAGTGGGGAAAGCAATGGCAGTAGAGGGTCACAGATGACCTGAGGCGGTGTTGAAAGGTCAAAGAGGAGGTAATCAAAGTGCCTGCCCCTAGGAGGACTTTTTTTGGTGGTTGTAGAATTAAGGATCTTGACTGCAAAGGAGACCAACCACTGAAAATGCTGCTAGCTGGAAAAACTGTGAGCATCACCAGCGCACGAGAGGCTCTGGAGCATGCACATACTGTGATGGTGTCAAAGAATGGGATATTAGGAACAGGAAGATGCCAGCTGTGCAAATGCAAGGCCAGATAGTTGCAAGTTGAAACAAAAACTTGGCAGTAAAAGGAGCTGTGAGCAGTTTTGCATAGAATCATAGAACAATTCAGGTTGGAAAAGACCCTTGGGATCATCAAGTCCAACCATTGACCCTACACTACAAGTTCACCGCTAGACCATATCACCCAGCACCACATCTAAATGACACTTAAACACATCCAGGGATGGCGACTCAACCACCTCCCTGGGCAGTCTGTTCCAGTGTCTGACAACTCTTTCCATGAAGAATTTCTTCCTAATGTCCAGCCTAAACTTGCCCTGTTGCAACTTGAAACCATTCCCCCTGGTTCTGTCCCTAATTACCTGTGAGAAGAGACGAGCATCAACCTCTCTACAATGTCCTTTCAAGTAATTGTAGAGCATGATGAGATCCCCCCTCAGCCTCCTCTTCGTCAAACTGAACAGACCCAGCTCCCTCAATCGCTCCTCATAAGGTCTGTTCTCCAGGCGCTTCGCCAGCTTTGTTGCCCTCCTCTGCACTCGCTCCAACACCTTGAGATCGCGAGGTAGGACTGAGATTGGCGCTGTGGCGCAGCCGTAGTAAGGAATGGTGAGATGGCAGATGGATCCAGCATAGTATTTTCGGTGGTGATAAGGACGAATTGGAGAAGTTACACGGGGCCTGGTGCGTTTGATGTATGGTTCTGGTCATGTTTTCAAAAGGGTGAGCTCAAACTGGATTCATAGCAAAAACCAGCTCTCAAACCAACTGGAGTTGTGGAAGGCTCATTATGTGAGAGCAAATCAGAGTAACTCGGCTTTTTCAGCTTAAAGTGAAGGCTGAGTTGGGGAAATGACTTACGAATAGTAAATGCAGAGGAGGATGGAGAAACGTTAGGGAAATGCCGATGTGTGAACAGAGAAGCAGAAATGGGGGTTAGAAAAAGATCTTGGTCAGCAGGGAGGTCCTGGGACTGCTTTCCAGTTGGGGTGACTGGGAGTCAGACCTGAAGTCCCTGCGGCTTGGGTTATTTTTGATCTGTTTTGTTGATGTTCTTGGGGGTTTGTTGGGTTTGGTTTGTTTTTCTTCATAACTCTACTTTTACAATCCAAAATGTGAGAACATTGTTTAAAGGTCATACAAGGTTGCTTCCAAACCAACAACTGGAGGCCTTTGCTATTGAGGGTAAAACACTTCAGCTTCCTTTATAACAAGCCTCAAGGCGTTTTCCTTTAGCATGGGGTTTTTTTTGAGAAAATGCTTATTATTTTTTTATCCAACCTTCCACCTCAAGTGATGAAGATTGACTTTCCAAATGACTGTGACTGCTGTAGTCTGACTGTTACCAGCCTACTCCTTGCCTCAGACCAGAAGGTTCTCTTCATCTCTCATTTAATCCCAGTGGGTGCTTCAGTAGGGTCGGTTCTGCTTGAAGGAGAAGGCAGCACTGACAGAATTTCCTTTATTCAGTTCACTCCAAACTTTCTACCTTTTGTAAATCGGAGGGGGGGGAGGGGAAGAAAGTCAAAGAAAGGGCAGAGAATAATATTAGATCGTTTTGTCAGACCACTTAGTAAATGTGATATGTTTCTTCATTAAACCTGATACCATGTTTGGTCTGAAGTAAATCTTTCAGAAAGATTTCTAGTCTTTATATTAAAATGTCAAGTGATGGGGCTCTTGCTATTTCCTTTCAGTTTGTTTAAATGGGGGATAACCATCGCTGTAATTCTGAAATGGTTTTATTTAATTTGGCTTTCCCTGTCTCTAAATTCCGGTTAATGTTTCATGTTGAACATGAGGTCATGTAGGCTGACTTGAATTTAGTGAGCGTGTCACATTTGAGCCAATTTGCCTTCGTACCGAGGTCAGTGACACATCTTCCAGGAAGACCAAACTGTGTTATTCATCTGTTTTCTTTTCCAGTTTCTTTCATTATACTGTACATCCTCTCCTTTGTGGCTCCGTATTTTTGTCCTTTCGAATGATATAATGGTCCAATACGGTTATCTACTGCAGATGAAATTACAGGCTTTCTGATCTTCTCAGACTTTCAGCTGTTGTCTTCTTCCCTCCATTGACTTTCCGATTTTCTTGGTAAACTATTTTCCTGACAAGTCACAAGTACTTTAAGAACTTGATTGACCCTCTTCTCAGACTTTGAACTGCATTTGCCTAGGTAGCACCTCATTAGTAGCAAAAGCTCCACGGTGAGATGCTCCGCACAGTGGTCCAGTGCTCTTCTGGTCCAGCGCTCACTTTCATCCCCCTGTCTGCACCTGTTGTGTCCCTGCCTCTTGCAGAATGGAGCTTACCTGGTTCTCGTACCGCTTATCCGGCTGTTTGTCCCTCTGCATCTGCCTCCTGCCCTTCTTCCTTGTTTCCTTCTGGCGTTCAGGGGACCTGGAACATTAATTGTAGAATTTTTCCATTTTTTAGAAGAAATCTCCTTTGGTCAGTTCTACTTTTCATCTATGAGTTCCAGCTTGACACAGACCAATCGTTTTTCAGCTCTTCTGGTCTGACCTCCATGCATGGTACTTTGCTAAACCCATATCCAATATTCCATTTTATGTCCACGTTTGGGCTTGAGATTGCCCGGTTGGTCTTTTTAATGCAGTTCCTCATCTGGAGTTTCCTTCCTACATCTTCTGTTACCACAGAAACATTTCTAGCTTTTCAAATCTAGACTCGGCACTTTCCTTTGCCTTCACATTTCTGCCCAGAGTCAGAGTGATTTCTTGAAGGAGCACTGTTTGTTTTGGGAAGGGGGTGTGACACTGTGTGTCAAGGTCACCATAAACAGAGTGAAATATGTCCGTGGGATAATTAGAGGCCTTTGAGACATTTCCAAGAAGATATAGGTCATTCTCTGAGCATGCCAATCCCTTGAAGACATTTTTCACATAGTCTTTAACTACATATCTATCCCCATTCTTTCATGTGCTGCCTAAAAACCAGCGGTTGCTGGTTGGAAGTGTTGACAATCTGCTCAAAAAT